GAATTCTAAAGTCACCACTACCATGAACTCTGTGCTCTGACTTCCATTCACTGTTCTCTATATTGTAACTCAAGTACTAAATCTCAAAGTTGAATGCACAAATGAGTAGGGGAATGAAGCCATTGCAGTTCCTCCACAGCAGGGGTCACAAACTCAAGCAACCAGGGCCAGGCACAGACTATAAAGGCATAAAGCAGGCTTGGCAGGGCGCTGACAAATGGAGCTTGTCTATATCCCAAGAGAGCAGTTCATACACAACTCCCACGAATCTTCATGTGAGATGCAGTTGTAGTGGTCTCACTGATGTTTCAAGTTTCCAATGAAGTCACATTTTTCTTTTCTTTTTGAAAGATTACATTTTAGCGAAGTTTTCATGTTCACCACAAAATTGAACAGAATATACAAAGAGTTCCTATAAACCCATCTTTGGGTTTGATAATGAATAATGAGTCTAATACCTACCAACATCACATCATACAATAAAATAGTGTCTCTACAGGAAAATTCCTCAGTATTATGATGGTCCAAACTCCTTCTATTAACTCTTGGAACAACCAATATTTTACTATCTCCCATCCTTGTTCTCAGGATAGCACACAATTGAAATTATATGCTATGCAATCTTTTCATCATTTTCTTTCACTTATTAACATCTACGCAAGATTCATGTATTCCCATGCTTGCAAGCTTTCTGTTTACTATTGAACAACAGTATAGGCTGTAGCACAGTTTCTTTCTATATTGATCCAATAAAGAATATCTTAATTGTTTTCGAGTTGAGAGACTATTCATAAGATGTCCATAATAAAAAAATATGTATATAGGTCAAACAGTGTGGGGATACAGGAAAGAACATTGTTGTTAGGTCACATTGTAAAACCATGTTTAATTTTGCAAGGCCCATGCAAGAATGCATTCTCCCTAACAATGAATGAGTTCCTTCTTTTTCTTCATCCTCACTAGTATTTGACATTCTCAGTGTACAGTGTATTACTACTTTAGTTCAAATTCCCTTGCTGCTGTGTAATGTGAAACATCTTTCCACGTGCTGCCTTGTCACTTGTTGTCTTAATTAGGGTTTCATTGCTGTGAAGAGGCACAATAACCAGGGCAACTCTTATAAAGGAAAACATTTAGATGGGGCTGGATTACATAGTTCAGAGGCTGAGTCCATTATGGTCATGGTGGGGAGGACGGCAGTATACAGGCAGACATGGTGCTGGAGAAGGAGCTGAGAGTTCCGTAGGCAGCAGTAGAAGGTATGCCATCCTGGGCATAGCTTGTGCATATATGAGATCTAAAAGCCCTCCTCCACAGTGCCACACTTTCTCCAATGGGCCACCCTACTACAACAAGGCCACACCTCCTAATAATGCCATTCCCTATGGACCAAGCATTCAAACACATGAGTCTGTGGTGGGGATCATTCCTATTCAAAGAACCACATTTGTATATTTTACTTCTTTATCCATTTAAAAACCTCATTGTTCAGTGTTTTAAATTTTTTCATGTATTGAAAAACAGTTCATTATAGGAAATATTCTGTGAAAATTTTGTCTTCTAATCTGTGCCTCATTCTCATTCTCTTCATGTCTCTTTCAGAGACAATTATTTTTTTAATTTTTTATTAATTACACTTTATTCATTTTGTATCCCCCCCATAAGCCCCTCCCTCCTCCCCTTCCAATTCCAACCTCCCTCCCCTTTCTGCATGCATGCCACTCCCCAAGTCTACTGATAGGGGAGGTCCTCCTCTTCTTTCTGATCTTGGTCTATCAGTTCTCATAAAAAATGGCTGCATTGTCCTCTACTGTGGCCTGGTAAGGCTGCTCCCCCCTCAGGGGAGAGACAATTATTTTATGGATTTTGATATTGGTTTTATATATAAAATTGATTTCCAAGCCCAAATTCCTCTAGATTTTGTACATGTTCTATTATTTGTAGTTTTTGAATTTACATTTAAACATGATAAATTTTTAATGACTTTTGTGATGCTTAGAAGTCCTGTGTCTTGATTCTGTTTTCAGGATATGTATTTTTCTCAGAATTATTTGTTAATAGTACTTTTTTCATTATATTATCTTTCCTCTGTGCTCAATGATTAGTTCTTTTATCAAATGGGTTTGTTTCTGGTCTTGTAAACAAATTCGGCAATCTACTTGTCTGTTTTCACCAATGCTACAATATGTTGATTACTGTGGCTTTAAGTCTTGAAATTAGGTAGGTCCATTTCTCTGGGTTTGTTTTTCCTTAGTATTTAGCTAGCTGTTTTTAGTCTTTTACTTCTCAGTATAAATTGTAGAAGTAGCTTGTTAATATGTATGAAATAACTTACTACAAATTTAAATAGGATTGTTTTGAATCTGCAGCTTAGAAGAACTATCCTGTTGACATAATTGGGATTTCCTATGATCATAAATAACATCACCAATTACTTATGTCTACTTTTATCTTCTCTGTAAGAGTTTTGCAATTTTACTCAGACTTATCTTTTACATATTTCTGCTCTGTTTGTAACTAATTATATCATTGTTTTGATTGTCAGTTTAGGCAGATGTAATGAACAGTGAGTGTTCACTAGCAAATTGATTGGATTAGGAAGAGATTATTGAAGGACATCTGTGGATGTGTCTGTGGTTGAAAGCATTTCAGAACGTCTGTGCATAAGTGCGGCCATACTTGTAGGGACACATTCCTACATCAACACACCTTCAATGTATCCTTGTGTTTTTCACCTACAAGTTCATGACACAAGCCAAGTATTCCCCAAAGTGTCCTGTTTACCAACTCAACCTTTTGAACATGTGTTACATGACCTGAAAGTAAGAATACTCCAAATTGCATCTGTCATCTCTCCTTCTTGATTCACATCAAATTAAGCACCATTAAGAATGTACTCCTTAACTGAGAATGTTCTGGAATATATATGCCCCTAAATAAAATATGTTCCTATATAAGTCTGTTTAGTTTTCTCAAATAAAATTGCCACACTTCTATCTATGAGTGCATTGCTTTGGAAATCAGACTCATGTTCTTAGTCAACAGCATTTCTTCACTCTTTTGTTATTTATTGACTAGGCTTGTTTTGGCATTGTAACCATCGACATGAGAACACATTGCATTTCCTTATGAGACGATTGACTAAGAGGTCAAGACCCACCTTGTATGTGGGCAGTCTGATCCCACAGACAGGGAGTCTGGGTGGAGAAAAATAGGGAACTATGGAGAAAGTCAGCTAGCACAGGGGATTTCTCATATTTTCCTGGCCATCATTTTGTGAGCTAATCTGCCTCACCATAGCTTTCCTGCTTGGATGGACAGACACTCTGAAATTGTGAGCCAAGCTAATCTGCCCTCTATTATTCATTTCACATTGTGATGGCTAATTCTGACTGCCAACTTGATTGGATTAGTTAATAGCTAGGCTATTAGGAAAGGACATCTGAGAATGTTTGTGAGGGCATTTCTAAAGACAAATGGATCATGAGAAACTGATTTACTGATTGGATGAGACCTTTATTGGTAGTAAGAAAGAAAGGTAGAAATTGAAGCTTAGTGGAGGAATGGGTTAATTTGTGTCTGTCCAGGAGCTATGTCTTCCCTGGTCTATTCCTGTTCCCTATCTGATTCCAGTCTGCCATGCTGACCCTACCATGACGGAATGTCTCTCTTACTGAGAACCACAATAAAGAATTCCTCTTCTTAAGTTGTTTTTCTCAGGTATTTTGGTCACAGTGACACAAAAAGTAATTCATACAGAAAACTAATACCAGAATTGTGGGTCACTGTTGTAATTAAACCTGTGGCTTTCTGGCCTTGAAGCTGGTTGCAGAAAAAAAAAAATTGAGGATTGTGGAGAAGCATGCAAGAGAAAGCCTACAACACTATAGGTAAGCCTCATGAATTAGTGATTTTGTTCAGGATACGTTAGAGCAGAATGATGAAACGCATGAGGACAGTAAAGACGATAGTCACAAAGTTTCAGATAGAAATGAGGACTCTTGAGAGTTCATGTTACCATGCTGTCAAGGAATTTTTTTAAAATTTGCTAAAAGCTCTGAGATTTTGAGTGAAGCTGAATTGAAAAGTAATGTCCTAATTGTTCTGGTGGAGTGTTATGTGACACTCTGCGGAGATATAAACAAATGTTTGCACACCACAGAGAGAAAACCAAAGAAAAGCCAAAATATAGACATCAATCCTTTTGGATTGAAAATGTATACCTGTACTTTAATCAACTAAATGTGTGGTGGTGGTGCTCATGTGTACCACAATATGTGGATAAAGCCAGAAGAATAGGTTCTGGAGATTGAACTCAGGTCCTTAGGCTTGGTAGTAAGGGACTTTACTACCTGAGCACATCTGGCTGGCCCTGTGACTAGTTTTATAGGGGATTACAGTGAAGAATTTAGTTTTAAGTTTCAGAGGAAGCTTTAGAATTGATTTTTTTTTTAAATGTTATTAGAACTTTCAGAATTGTGAGGACTCAAAAAACAATCTGAATTTTGCAATAAAACAGAAACCTTTGGGGGCCAGTGGTAAATTAGGTGTAGTTGGGTATCTCTTGCTAAGATATGAAAACTATGGTGTTTAAAAGGATTAACCAATGTAGAAGACCCACTTTGTATGCGGGTGATAAATACAGGCTTGGGACCTAGTTGGAACAAAGGGAGGAAATACCTACAGGGCATTCTTGGCTGCTACCATTGTGTTATGACAATTGTCGGCTCCAGATGTTTTGTTGATTTTTTTCAGATTTTCTATATAATTATGTGTGGGACTTGAGAGCAAGACATTTTTCCTTCCATCTCTGAACTATTTACTTTTCCTTTCTTTCTGTATCACTTTTGCTCTATTGAGATGGTGAAAGGAATGATGAAAGTGGACTACCAAAATGTTTTAAACGTTGGACTGCTCGACAATATAATCTGTGTCTGAGGAAGGCTTTCTGTACTTCAGATGAATTTGGGATGTAGGAACACAATTATTAGACTATAGCAGTAGGTGTATTATCTTTATTCCCATGGTATAGAAAACCAAGACACCACTCAAATCAAACTAATTGTCAGGTTCATATAGTTAATCACTGATAGAGAACAGGGTTTGAATTCAAGTAATTAAGTTTTGGAGTTCCTTGAAGGCAGTGTGTTTGCCTGTCCAGGGGTAGAATATACTGCATTTTATTTAAAAGAAAATAAGCCCCAACTTAGTATTTACTGCTCTATACAACGTATATATCACCACCATGTACTACACAGCCTCACGGAATGAAATTAAGCTAGCGTGGGTTGTCTGATATTTATTTTACTAGAACTTTGTTTATTTTCAATCAGCCTAATTACAATGAACAGAATAAGAAAAGATGAATAATACTAGTTTTACTTAGAAATGGAGAGAATTACTTTGACATTTATGTTGCTCAAGGGTTTTGCACAAGTCTGAAAGAAATGAGATAGATTACTAACAATTAGAAGGGATTTTGTTTTCCTACATTTGTTCTAAGATATGATTTTCTTAAAAACATTATATATCACCATTCACATTATAGAAATAATATTTTAATTAGGGAAAATAAATAAGCAAACAAATCTAATACAGCACTTGGAAAGGTCACAAGTTTAAATCAAATGACCAATTCTTAATGCACTATCCATGCACTGAAACAATAACTTCCTTCTCTTTAATTCGAAGGCAAATGGGTGGAACACAGCAGTTCAACTTCCATTATATCTATCCTGAATGTGGTCATTTTTTTTTTATCCTTTAAGTGTGATATTCTCAGTACTAAAATATGACAGTTTTTGTTTTTAAACTGGCTGACCCAAGGTTATATACGAAAACCCATATCATCTTGCACTTAATAACCACAATTTATACTTTTGGGGACCTCATCATGTCATCTTTTAATTGTGTAAAATAACTGAAAACCTACTGCTTAATATATAACTAGTACTGAAGAAAATAAACCATTTAGAGTTTTTACAAAAGCATGAAATATTAACCAAAAATTGACCAGCAAAATGACACAGACATATTATTTTCAGAATTGCTAGCCAATTAAAAAACAGGTATCCAATAGAAATTACTCAAATGAATTTTACAATTGTACAATTAAAGGTATTAAATTAGCTTAATTAGGTCCTGAGGTCTAAATTCAATCACCAAACTCATGAACTGAACTTATGAGATTTAAAAAAGAAGTTCATGTCAGAAATAATCCCTGTTCCCCTTACTAGGGTACCTACTTGGATACTGAGCTACCATGGGCTGCATCTGAGCAGGGGTTATAGGTTATATCCATACATGGTCCTTGGTTGGAGAAACAGTCTCATAAAGGACCCCTGTGCCCAGATATATTTGGTCCTTGGGTAGCTCCTGTCCTCTCTGGATCATACTAACTCCCCCTTCTTTCATATGATTACCTGTACTCTGCCCAAGGCTTGGTTATAAGTCTCAGTATCTGTTTTGATACACTGCTAGTTAGAGACATTCAGAGGCCTTCAGTGGTAGGCTTCTATCCTATTACTTGTTTTCTCCTACAACCAATGTCCATCCTATTTGTCTTTTAAGTGAAGATTGATCATCTTACCCAGGGTCCTCTTTCTTGTGTATCTTCTTTAGGTGTATAGATTTCATTATGTTTATCATATCTTATAGGTCTATATAAGTGAGTACATACCATGTATGGATATTATTAAACAGAGTCAAATTTCAGTCCAACAAATTCTGTGCTGGAAGAGAATATTCAAGAATGGCTTCCTACTACTTAATCCTTATTCAGGAGGGCAAACAAGATAGACATTGGAAGTGGGAGAAGACAGGGAACAAGACAGGAGCCTTCCGCAGAGGATCTCTGAAAGACTCTACCCAGCAGGGCATCAAAACAGATGCTGAGAACTCATAGCCAAACTTTGGGCAGAGTGTAGGGAATCTTATGGAAGAAGGTGTCGGGGAGCAGATAGAAAGACCTGGAGGGGACAGGAGCTCCCTAAGGAGACCAACAGAGCCAAAAATCTTGGCCCAGAGGCTTCTGCAGAGACTGATAAATCAACCAAGGACCATGCATGGAGAGGAGTTAGACCCCCTGCTCAGATGTAGTCCATAGGCAGCTCAGTCTCAATGTGTGTTCCCAAGTAAGGGAAGCAGGCCTGTCTCTGTCATGAACTCAGTGGCCAGCTCTTTGATCACCTCCCCTTGGCAAAGCAGCCTTACTAGGACACAGCAAAAGAGGATCACAGACAGTCCTGATGAGACCTGATAGGCTAGGGTCAGAGAGTAGGGGAGGAGGACTCCTACTATCAGTGGCATAGGGGAGAGACATAGAAGGGGAAGAGGGGAGAGGGTGGTACAGGAGGAGATTATGAAGGGGGCTACAGCTGTAATACAAAGTGAAGGAACCGTAAACAATAAACAAACAAGCAAACAAATAAATAAATGGCTTCCTAAACCATTTTGACAGGAAGGATGGCCTGATAACAAATAACATGGGTTATTCAAAGAATGACTATCAAGCTGTGTATATTAAAAAACAAACAGTATTAAAATTTGATAACAATATAATATATTCAACTTATCAATGACCATTGAAAAATAATGTCAAGCTAGATGGCACACTTATTGACATTTTCTTTTTTTAAATATTAGTTACAGTTTATTAAGTTTGTATCCCAGCTGTATCCCGCTCCCTCATTCCCTCCCAATCCCACTCTCCCTTCCTCATCTTCTCCCTACCCCTTTTCATGTCCACTGATGGGGAGGACCTCCTCCCCTTTCATCTGACCTTAGCTTATCAGATATCTTCAGGTCTGGCTGCATGGTCCTCCTCTGTGGCCTAGCAGGGCCACTCCTCCCTCGAGTGTGGGGGAGGGAGGTCAAAGAGCCAGCCATTGAGTTTATGTCAGAAATAGTCCCTGTTCCCCTTACTAGGGTACCCACTTGGATACTGAGCTACCATGGGCTCCATTTTCTAACTGCAACCACAACCTCGGCATAAGAGATTAGTAAACTCACAGAAAAGAGCTCCCTAAATGATTTTCAAAAGAAATCATCAATACTGAGTATCAGCTGCGCAAAGATCAGAGATTTCTGTGCATCAACAACAGTCACGTACTGAGTGATCTATCAATGAGAAATCCAAAGAATACCAGAGAAATTCTCATCAGCTTTTCATAATGTACAGAATAAAACATATACTTTAATAGCATTATTTCTGTTTTGAACTATTACAGAACATTTGGTAAAACTTAATGATTAGTCATAAGAGACTTATCACTGTAACTTCTGAAATTTAACCACGTCTAATCTGTTGAGATAGTATTACTCTCTCCTCTGGACTAGGATTGCTTGTGCAATCTGAGGTACTCAAATACAAATACTTTACTTACTATGACATTGCAAAAATAAAGCCGCAGAGTAGTCGTTTCTTAGCACAGTGATTATAAATTCAAATATCACTTAAAGTTTAAAAATATGCATCATGTATAAATGCATATTCATTTTCATGTGATAAACAGACCTTAAATAGAAGTAAATAAATAAAAATGTAGCTAAGAAATAGCACTACGTTATAATTTATTTTTGCACTTAATTTGCACAGGAACATCACTGAATGTTGTCAGTAAGCAACTTTCCAGCCTTTGTGCTTCTCTTTAAATACATATGCTGACAGACAAGATGGATTAGACACAGTCTACTTTTTCTTCAGTTGGTTGATTTCGTAGAGAATTATAAACCATGAAACTAAATTGAGTAAATGTTGGAAGTTTGTTGCAAGCAGCACCTTGAGCGAAAACAAAACAACAAAAAAAGAGACAGTTAAGGGTTATAGGAGGCATATATTCAGAAACAATAAAGATTAACATTTGTCTAGACATTGCTGTGGCATGTTGCACTGCATATGTTGCATGCTTATATCCACTATATATATACACACACAGTACCTTCACAGTAGAGAGTAATTAATAATTATATAAGAAATGAGGGGAAGATAATACAGCCTTTGAAGATTTCCTTTATTTGTATAATTGTTTACATGCATGTATATATGTATGTATGTATGTATGTATGTATGTATGTATGTATGTATGTATGTACATCATATGTATGTTGGGCTCAAGGAGGTCAGAGGCAGACAGTCTGGAAGTGGAGTACAGGTGGTGGTGAGTTACCTTCTGGGTTCTGGGAAGCTAACATGTGAGGGTCTGCATGAGAACAAGTGCTATTAACTTTGGAGCATTTCTCCAGGCTTTACTTCATCCCTTAGAACAACAAATATTTGCTCCCTCTCAATCCCCTTCATAGAAAAAAATTACCCAAATTTTTATTTGGGTAATCCCTAGCTAGTAGAACAGTCTCACATCATTGCTTCCCATTCTCCCTGTTTGTTCGATGAGAAGCGTAATTCGTCAACGTGCTTTCTGTCTGAATTTAGTTTCTGTTTGTACCTGCAGGGGGAGAGGTTCCTCTATCATGACTTTATTAGAAATAGTCTTTTTTTTTTTTTTTTTTTTTTTTTTTTTTTTTTAGTTCACATAGTTAGAAAATTAGTATCTTCCCACCCTGCTAATGTAAATTTGAGCCTTCTATGGCTTATCTGTTGAGAGGGAATAATTAAATGGCCTTATGTCATACATAAATCACCCCCTATAACTTTCTTTGGCTTTTATGTCTTCAAACTTAAAAAGGAATTAGGAATTCTTCAAAAAAGCTCTTCAAATACAAAAGTGTGGGAAGTAAAAGATCAAAGAAGTGCAGTGAGCAGTCTAACCTAATAAGCTGTATTGATCAGTAACCTCTACATATTCTCCATCTGAAAGTTCAGTGACGAGAGTCAGCAGTGGTTGACCTTAAATGCTTTGCAGCCACCACTGGCTCATAAGGAGAGCAAATAGAACAGAAGACATGCCACAAGCAGTGCTAGAAGAATTCTGCTGGCCTGTCTGGCTTACTCACTAGTAATGGTTTTTGTTCTTCAGAGCTGCAAGATGATCAAAATGACTGAAATGTTTTAATGAATGAGAAAGAACTGAGATTAACTTATCCCCACCATTTCTAATCAGTAGAAGGATTTGACTAAATTAGTATATCAACATGTGTGACAACCAAAGCAAAACTTTTAAGATAGATGGAAAAGGTAAGAGCTGACAGCACAAAAGTAGACTATGACTACCAGCAGTGAAACAAAATACTGTTTTAGGTATGTATTTTAACATTTTACAGTATTGACAGATCATCAACTGGCATTCACTCAGAATCTACTTTACTTTTACAGACTCCTTTTTTACATAGAACACAGTGCACTATGTGCTTACAGAGAAGTGTGTATCTTTTCTAATCACTTGAAAATTTAATCAAATAAAAACACATATCTAACTTACCATAACTTCCTGTCACATTAGCACATATAACAGCTCCAAAGAATTTCGGATAATACTTCTGAATTCTGGAAATCACTTTTTGGCAAGCTATGGCTGGGTCTTCTCCTCTGCTCATATATTGTACAGCCTGGTAGCTAATTTAAACAGAACTGACAGCTTAATATCAGAGAACAAAATAAACACATTAGGCTAAATTGATATCAGAAAATATGAAACAACCATATTGTCAAATTTAACATAATACCTATGAATGAACACAAGTCAGTAATTTCTGTCACAGCCTTAATACCAAGGCAAGCAAACCCTGCTGCCATGTCATCTATTCAACTCATCCACCACTGATTTCAGACGAGGACTATTATTTTTGTCTTTGGCTGAATAACTGTCACTTTAGTAATAACAGCCAGAAGTCACAAATGGAGGTTATATTTGCATGTGGAAGAAGCTATGCTCACAGGAGAACACACTGCGCGTGTCCGAAGCATATAGCTGTAATTACTAACTGTGCACAGTGACTACACTTTCTACTTTTCTCGGTCACTTTACATGGCTTTGTATCAGTTATCATAAGCATTCTCCTATGCAGAGGAAGAAATATTTCATTTTATAACATAAAAAAGACTCAAGTCAATGATCACAAGCTAACGAGCAAAACAAAAACAAAAATCCTTGCTTTCAGTTTCAAGAAAATCTCTCATGCACATGAATTCAGGTAACACACTACAAAACTCATCCTCGTCCTGACATTACATGTCTCCTCTAAGAACCTCTAGAACGTACACAGGTAAGGAATCGCACCTTGGCAGAAAGCGCAGGAGTATATCACCATCCCCAGTGGCTGCAGCTGCTCCGGCCAAGTCATCAGCATAGGCCCCAGCTCCAGGGATGGGAGAATCTCCTACACGACTGTGGACAGCATAGACATTCAGGCTAGGGAACCAAATGTAATCTAAATCATGTTATAAACTGTTTCAAAATTAGAGGATATTCCCACACAGACACTGGTTACTGTTGTGAGTAAATTCTTCACTAGAATACATTTTTTTTTTCAATTAAGGTTTTCAAACAGTGATGTTAATATATGACTTTGTTTTCAGATAGATTTGCAGTGTAACAACACTGAATTCTTAGAAACAGACTAAAATATTGCTTTTTCCAATAGTGGGAAGTGTAGATGGACAGATGTTGACTTACAAAAAAGAATTAATACTTAAAACAGGCAGGATAAGTTCTAGAGATATGCTGTACATAACGGCATTACATTTAATAATAATATATTTATGTGTAAAACCTGCCAAGACTATAGATTTAAAAAGCACGTAAAACAATGCATAAGTCAAATAGTTTGGTTTAACAATTTCGTATATATATGAAAATACAAAAATACATTCTACTCCTTAAATAGACATGTTTGCTTATCAATTAAAATTTTAAGCAAAAAAAAAAAAAAAAAAAAAAAAAAAAAAAACAAACCAAAAAAACTTGTCATCAGTTCGTCGTACTAGATCCCACAGATTTACAGCGACTGTTCTACTATTCCACTTTTCTCAGTTTCTGGAGCACCTGAGTGGTTCTCATTATTTCTTCACACTGCCTTCTATGCAATGAGCTAAACTTTTAATAAGCCTACTTAGTGCCTTTTTTCTACTTAAAAACCAGGCAGCAGCAGCAAACCTACAACCCTTCTAGTTCACCCCTAAAAATCTCACTTGGTTTCCTTGTACTCTTAATCTCCACTACTGCCACACGCAATTCTGTTCACACTGAGAGCACACGTGCCAACACACATACACACACACACACACACACTTCAGCTTCTTTTCCACCATCAGAAGCTGTCAACCTGAAGTGTGTACGACTTGTACATACTTGTTCCATTGGCTGCATGGTGCTTGTAACCCTTCAGCCCTGTGTGTTCAGGTGTCAGCCTCCATTATCTCTTTGCTGGTGCGACAACTCAGGTTACACAGATTAACCCCTGATACTCCTGAACACTGAAGCACCTGGCTCTCATGCTTGCTGTGGCCAGTAACATATGGTAACATGCTTCCTTTCACATTTATTTGTGACATCAGCATTTCATTTCACATATGGCACCCTGCACAAGTTCTGCCCTATCCTGCTTTACATTTGATACATATTTAAAAAATCTGTCCTTGGGGAAACACTAACCCAGGTATTTTGAATTTTAGACCATTTGTAGATGTGCCAGCAGCAGTATGTCCCATCTTATCGATTACAACCATGCCTAGAGATTAAAAACAAAACAAAGCAAAAAACCAGTGTAAGTAACCAACACTTTTCTTAAATATACCCAAATAATGGATCAGCTGAAGATTGCTGTGGTATGGTGGATTGTGTCCCCTCACATTTATAACTACACGAAGTGATGGAATTAGGAGGGGCCCAAGGGAAGGTGGGATGGTTTATTAGGGGCAATGCCCTAATTAGTAGGATTAATACAAGAGATCTCAGAGAACTAGATACGCTACCTACGCACCGGGAGATGGGACCTCAACAATGCATCTGCTAGTGTCTGCATCTCAGAATTTTCTGCATTTACAACTGTGAGAAATAAATATGTTTATAAATCAGCCAGCCTATGGTACTATGTTTTTACATACTGACTCCATCAATAAAGTATGTTCTCTTACTAACTACAGGTAGAGGAAAGCTTAAAGATATTGAAAAATGTATCAATTATATTACACTATAAATTTTAATGATCTGGTTTCATAGTATTATTGGACAAAAAAAATAATCTCATATTCTTACTCTTCAAATACATCCGTTACTTTCAGTACCTTTTCAAAGGCAAGTCCCAATAAAACCACTCATTTGATTAACAGAAACTGTTAATATTACAGCTTAGGAAAATTATTACAGGTCATTTTATATAAAAAATATAAAGTAACCAAAGCATTTAATATTAATGATTTGATAATCTACATTTTAATAGTCACTGGATAGTTAGTGTTTTGTATGAGTAATTTAAAAAACTTTATATAAATGTTAAGACATTACATACAGATACATATATTTATATACTATAGATATGAATTTATGTGTTTTCAAAGTTTATTATATACATACATATGTGCATGTACATATAGTGAGAGAGAAATACACTTACCAAGGAGGTATTTAGTTAACATCTAAAATAATAAAAGCTAGCTAACTTCTGGTACATGAGTAAAAATAAATATGAGCTGTGCAAGGTCACTAGTTAATCAATAAAATTGCATAAAAAGCCAATTACCAATAGTATCATGACCATGAACATCTGCTTCTTTGTAGGCAGGATTACTCTTCTCTAAGAAGACAGAAGGTTTGTAGGGTCCACAGTATTTCGAAGGATCTGGTACAACTTTCTGAAACAAGATTCAAGTTTCTTGGTTAAAAACAGTGTTGTAGAAAGCAGCAAATAATTGTGGATGATTGCTAATCACTAGAAGAAATCAGAAGGACATGAGTAACTCAGAGCTCAAAAGTTAGCTGAATCTTATATGGAAACTGATGATTTTCAAAATTACACATTGTGGATTAGAACAATATGTGCAAAGCACAGGGCACCGAATGTCATCTTTACATATACAATTCTCAGAACAAGAGCAGAAAGAAACTTCTTAAAAATTATAAACTAACCTCAAAGGAAAAAGTACTGAGCTTGACCTCTGCATGTGAGAATGTGGTTCCCTGATGACAAATTCTGAGATTTCAAGTAAAACTTGCTTTATAAAAATGTTTACTTTAATCTCAGTAGATAATGTGTCCAACTTTCACACAGAGACATTGTCAGCTACAACGTGCACACTTGAGAACTGCTTACCCAAGTTATAACAAGTAAGTAACAATGCCACACAAAATGTCATTTTCCTAAGATTTATTTATTTTTTTTATTATGTATACATGTTCTGTCTACAAGTATACCTGCATGCCAGAAGAGGACACCAGATACCAGATTTCATGACAGATGGTTGTGAGCTACCATGTGGTTGCCAGGAATTGAATTCAGGACTTCTGAAAGAGCAGCCAATGCTCTTAACCTCTGAGCCATCTCTCCAGCCCCAAAAGTCATGTTTTAAGTAATTTATAAGCTTGTGTTTCCCACCATTCATCTTCAGCTATCATGAAGCCTGACAGCCATGGACTAGACCCCTCTAGCTGCAGCCATTCTAATTAGCAGTCCAAGATTCAGTTAAATATTAAAAGTATAGAAATATACCAATAAATTTAGGTTGTTTGAATAGACTGTTATTAAGACAAGAAATTGTTTGTTTTTTCCGAGACCAGTTTCTCTGCATAGTTCTGGCTGTCTAGGCTGGCCTCGAACTGGGAGATCTATCTGCCTACCTCTGCCTCCTGAATATTGGGATTAAAAGCATGTACTACCACCACCAGGCCAAGATAAGAATTTAATGCAGTTTGAGCATCCCTTATCTGAAATGTTTAAGACTAGAAGTGTTTTGATTTTTTTTTTTTAGATCTTAGAATTTTTTGTGCTCATAATGATGTATTTCATAGATGGACACAAGCCTAAGCACAAAATTCACTTACATTTTATGTTTATTTGTGTGATTACTCTGAAGATAACTGTATACGCTTTTAGTTGCATTTGTGGTTTGTTGGCAGTGCAGTGCATGAAGGAGTACAGCCTTTCACACATTTCCTTGTGGTATCATGTTGGTACTAAAAGCGTTTTGAAGTTTAGCTTTTTAGTTCGGGGATGCTCATTCTACTCATAGCTCATAAGATTGTGCACCAGGTTTAGATTCAGTTGTTTTACAAAAAATTTATTTATTTTTTCTTTTTTGTTTATTTATTATAATTTATTCGCTTTGTATCCTGGCTGTGGCCACCTCCCTAATCTCCTCCCAGTCCCATCCTCCCTCCCTCTTCTCTCCCTATGCCCCTCCCCTAGTCCACAAATAGGGGAGGTCCTCCTCCCCTGAAGAATTTATTTTTTGAGCTAAATCCAGAGAACTTGGTAATTAGGATTTAAGGACAAAAGAGATTAGAGAAGTTTGATTTTGTATGGCAGAATCAAATTGATTTATGCTAAAGTTCCTACTAAAGAACAATGATCTCACTAATAACAAACCAGACACCTAATTGTTTAAGTCTTCTAGTCAAAATATGTGCAACATATTGGATATGGTATGGTACCACAAGGATACCATTTAAGAAACTTTTTACACATGGATTTTGTTCCAAGAAAGTACAAGTAAAACAATGTTGATGGCGCCAGTTCCATTCTTCCTAACAAACCTTGAATTTACAAATCACTGCCACAGTACTGGAGTCATTGACCTCAGGAGGTAGGGGGGGTGGCATATGAAAAACGGATGCACCCAGAAAGCCAACTTTTATCACTGGTTCTAACACATGGGCAAGACAATAACCAACACAGGCAAAAGAGGGCCAAAGGGATCACTTAGCATTTTTAAGAAATTTCCCTTTTTAAGTTGAATTTGCATACATACTTTCCAATAATTTGGCTGGCAGTTCCGAGAAAGCCAATCTGAATGAATAGCTCTAGAGGCACTGGTAGATAAATCCTCATTGGTAAACCCCATACTTTCAGCAAACTTGGTGGCTGGAGATGAAAGAGAAAAGTGTAAGCCCATGCATTGTTTCCTAAATAAAATTCGTGTACTAGAGGCATTCTGGGCCAGCTTTCTCTGATACGGGGTATGGAAAGACATCTGATGAGGGTGGTACACAAGGCTCACAAAGGAATTTTTGGACCTAAACAGTTTTAAGGAGGCCATTTCTGGATTTGGAGCTTCTGTGTCCTTCCTATCACTGACCTGTTGGCGACCTTTTGGTTGTGTACACACTTCCTTTACTGTCTCACTTCCACCATCTTCCCCTTCTCCCTTTGAAGAATTGCAGCCTTTCACAACACACACTTCTCACTGACACAGAATTCTATTGCTTTAACTAGAATGAAAAGAACCAAATAGACAAACGGATTCCAAACACCAAAAGTCATTCTTTCCAGGTAGTCTGCATTTCTATTTCAAGCATATTAATGCTGCTACATAAATATATCATTAATATAATATTTTATCATAGGCTACCTTCTGATCTTTTGCAATGGAACTTGGAAGGGACTCAAGTGACACTGTCATAGCAATCTCCTTTTGGTATTACTGTCTCATATAAGCCATGCCCCCTGGGTCTTGTATCTGTAGAAATGCAAGGCAGAAAGGAAACTGATGTGAACCCTATTTCAGCTGTAGCAATCACTCACGGTCAGATAACACAATGCTTAGTGCAGTCTTCAAGACAAAGCAACACGTAGAAGTAATCTATCCAGTTAAACAGATATGAAATAAAACATCAGGAATTTGAACTTAGGTCTCCTTTGCTCTCTACTTCACAATAAGATAGAGATAGAGACATATAGATGGATAGATTTTAACAGTGACAATAGACAAAATGATTCAAGCAAAATTTCAGTTTGGTTTTAAAAGTACCTGACTCTCCTACTAAGAGCGTGTGTGTTGTATGCTCCAGGACCTTCCGTGCCACTCCAATTGCATTTTTAATTCTTCTAAGGTCTCCTACTGCTCCCACGTCCATAGCAGTGCTGTAAGGCAACAATGAGGGGAGATTTACGAAGGCATTTTCTGTTGGCACTTGAACAGAAAAATTACATTTCTCCAAGCAGCAATATGTTGAAAGGCTAAACTCCATCTCAACACAGAAGGGAAAACAACCTGTAAAGTTCATGGGTTTCCACAGACAAAATTCAAGAACAAAAAGTCAATTCAGTATATATCTCAACATGCTATTTTAAACATGGCTTTTAAAAGAAGCCTTCAGGCTTAGGTCACCGAAACCACAGCAATTGCAGATGGCAGGTAAATTACTGGTTGAGCGGCATAGTTCTGCATCTGGGCGTTCTCACCAGTCAGAGCAACTCGGCCACTTATTTCTCTGTGATATTCGACTATCAGGTGACCTTTTAGTTTTTTCTTTTTTGTTAACTCGTTGTGTTTAGAAGGGACAAGTACTATAAACAAGGGGTTCTGACCTATGCGCCACACTCACACACTCCTCTATCTTGCTCTGAATGTAAGCCAACCTGACACGAAAACACAGTGACAAACAGGTCCTGAAGAACATTCTTACCCGTTCATGATCATGGCATCAAGGGTGGTCTCCCCAAGTTCATCAGGACTTCCTCCAAAGCCTACAGTGCCGTCGCACTGTTCTGCCTCACACTTAGCACAGCCGTTCTCCACCGCATCCAAGACAGAGCCTCCAGACGCTAAAGTCTGCCATGCTGTTAAATTCCAATAGTGCTTATTTATATTCAGATATTTTTTCAACATGAAAAGCAAAAGCCAAGTACAGTTTGAGGTGCCTATTTTTTTCTCGTAACATTTATACCATTGAAATTTTAACAAGTTATTTTATCAAATGGGACAAAAGTGATGCAAGGACATTAGAATGACACAGACAAAATTATATCACTGGTTACTGTAAAGAATTCAAAGATGTTGGCTCTTAGTAGAAAGTGAATATTTAAAACAATTTCCAGTAACTTTTTCTTCTGTGTAACAAATATGTGATCTTTAAGAGGGATAACTGAAACTATTTGGAGATAGTCGAACTTAAAAGTATTTTTCAATTACAACCTTAAAATTTAGTCATTATTTTTTTGTTTGTTTTGTCAGATATAGTCTTGCTATCTAATCCAAGCCAACTGAAAATCCATGTACAGCATAAGCATGTCTAGAAGGCTGTGTCTTCCGACCACAAATTCCTGAGAGCTGAAATTACAGGCATGTGTCACTCTCTTGGTTACTGTCATACGCATAACTCCCACTTTCATTGATAACGCACATGACAGCAAGTCTCATCACAATATTACAGTAGCAAAAGACTTCATGTGGGTGAATTAATCTCTTCATGCAGCTTTTGAGATGTTTTATAAATTCTCATTCTCAAAAGAAATGGCTAGATGTGAAGTAATCCATTGAAGGCTACACAGTGTATTTCAGAGGTTGTCCAGTTTTGAAAGTAGTCTCTTTCTCTATGGTGGCTGTGTGTGTGCTCTGTGGACATCCAAATATTGAGGGCATATGTCTGGAAAGGACAGCTGTTTTACTTAAAATTCTTTGAAGATTAAGAAGTCTCGGCCCCTTCAATAGTGACAACTTATACAGAATTGTCCCCTGCCTATGATGTTGGAAGTTTCTTTATTTCATTACTGCTGGGGCATCTCTTTCTCAGTCTGATTTCTCACTTTCTCGGATTCCTCTATAACACACAGATTTTCCTGCTCTGAATTCTGGAGACAACTGTATCCACAGACATTTACTGTGACAGCAGTCTCAAGTGTGACAGAGTTGGGGATAGACGGTACAACCCTAACAAACGCTAAAGACATCTTTAATGCATAAGAGACAAGGACAACTTGACAAGCATGGAACAAATAATCAAATATATGTGCGTCCATAGGAAGTTGTTGTTTCCTAAATCCAGACAGCACTGCTGAAACAGGAGACATTCACAAGAAGTATAGTGTGGAAGAAAAACAGGAAACATCACAACAAAAGAGTGACTGTCACAAAAGTAAGGCAGGTGACCCTGAAGGAGGTCATTCAGTGTGGTACCGGGAGGAAAACGATATCCCAGAACCTCAACTGCAGCGGCGGCAGGGAAAGGGTCAGGCGCAGAAGCGAAGCAGGAAGAAGACCGGAAGGAGGCCAGGCTTCTGCCGCTGACCCTCTCCTGTAACTTTAGGGGCCACGGCAGCTTCCTGCAGAGGAGCTTGCACAGCGCAGTCTCCCACCCCGGGCCGCTCCGCACCTGCTTCGGTGGCATTCTTAAAAGGCCAAGTGTTGAGGACCAGGGGCAGACGGCTGGGGACGCTCGCCAGGGTCATGCCCAGCACGAGCGGCAGGAGAAGCAAAGGCCGACTCGACTTCCGCGCCATAGCAGAGCGCCCAGCCCAGCAGCGAGAGAAAAGTCCCTGTAGCCCTGCGCGCCCAGCGGACCAGCGCGAGAAAGATCTCGGCCAGCTCAGACTTGCTGAACTCGTGATTCCCTTTGGTCTCATCCCCAAATCTCTCAGCTATCGCGAGACACGAGCCGTCTGATGGCCTCTGCAGGGTTGTGTTTTGCATTTCCTTGTATCTGTTGATGTGGTTAGGTAGAGGTCTGCTCGATCGGGCTCTTTGTAGTTTGTTTTCGTTTTACAAATACATACGTGCTTTCAGTAAGGTAGATTGACCTTTATGAAAGTGAATATGAAATTATGCGGCCATGCGTTGCACAACACTAGAAACCTCAGGTAACAGATACTGTTTGAGTTTTACATATTTCCCATCTTAAATGCAAATTAAAGGTAAAAATCAGCCAGACCTAAAATATACCCCGGGATTCCTTAAAATTTTTTTAAATGATTACTGAATATAGGTGAAGTGCTCTTGCATAGAACCAAGTTCGTTTGAGGTAATTTTGACACTTTACATCGTTTCCTCATCATGGCTTTCTGTAGGACGTCCTTTAGTTACAAATCCCTGAGCTGGAAGGAAAGGACACACCCACTGAAGTGCATACTCCTCGCCTCCAGCCAGGAAGGCTAACTCCATTCTTTTCTGAAGGTATTTTATTTCATCTTTATGCCTGGCACCATTAAGTACTAAATAAATGTTTGAATAAAAGGAGAAATGGGAGCTTTACATGCATGGTACCGGCTTCTCGTTTTGATAATTCAGTTGCTGCGCAGATGTGTGAGCATGGACCAATAATCCCACTGGGACTCTGGGATGCTTGTCCATATAGCTGAAGGAAGACATAATTTTAAAGAGCATCTATAAATCTATCCAGACTGGTAAAATATGAACTAGATGGGAGTTGTGAGGCTTAGAAAATCTTCAACGTTCTCATTGCATGGAAACTGAATCTGCAATTTAAACAGCATAAGATAGCCTAGAATTATTCCCAGGCAGGGAAGTGCTATTAAAAAGTTAGGTGTAATTAAAAAAGAAATGACACACGATCCTTCTATGGGGTTTTGGAGGAGGACCAAACTATTTGTGCTGTGCTAATGAGCATAAAGCTCATGCTAGGTGAGATGGGAAAGATGGATGAAACGGAATAAAAAATGCAAGGAAAAACACTTATTGTCTTTGGAATTAATTTTCTGTAGCACCTGAGTTGTTATTTATAAGTTCAAAGAACTGAGACATGCTTTCAAATATTATAAAAAAAATAATACATGGAAAGTTGTTCTCAGTTCCTGAAACTCATTTTTAGGCGATATAATTCCTTCAACTGAAAGAACCCAGACACAGAGGGAAGATAGCAAAGCAGCCAGATTTAAGGGACAAGGAAGGGGAAAACCCCTCCATCTTGGGTTCTATTCTGCCTTTCCTGCATAGAGTCAAGGAACTTCAACAAAATCGATAAAGCTTTTAGTCTGTTGAGATTATGTATTTTCCTAAAAACAGCTCAAACAAGGACGTTTAAAACAACACATGAGGGGCTAGGGAGATGGCTCATTGGTTAAGAGCACTGGCTGTCCTTCCAAAGGTTCTGAGTTCAATTCCCAGCAACCACATGGTGGCTCACAACCATCTATAATGTGGTCTGGTGTTCTTTTCTGGTATGAAGACATATATGCAGGCAGAAGACTTATAAATAGAAAATAAATAATACAAAAAAGTAAAAAAAATGCATGAACAATGTTTACTTATTGGATTTTACAATATTAACACCCCTGTCTCATCCCAAATATAAACAGTAGGCATGCAAATCGCTAAGCTTGAAGGAAATGTTGTTTAAATTTTAAATTTTTCTCAATCTTAAAATCTTGTAAATTGTATCCACTAAGAAATGTTTTGGCCACATGATCTTTCTGTTGCTCTTTTTTCTGTTTCTGTTTCTCTCTGTGTCTCTCTGTGTGTCTCTGTCTGTCTGTCTCTGTGTGTCTCTCTTTCACACAGACACAGACACACACAAAACATTCATTGTAAAAACACTCAAGCACAATTCTGATGAAACTTTCACCTACGTTTTGGGATTGTGTACCATCAATAACTTTACTAACTTGTCTCAGGTCTGGCTCATCCTGAAATCCTTTTCCTTGGCCTTGTCAAGACCTAGTTTGGGTTTTAAGCTGGGATGGAAGGAAACTCCAGGCTCTTGCTAGCAAGCTGTGTTCGGTTATGTCTTCTCCCCTCCTGCTGTTCTTTTCTCCTAATCCTTGAAATCAAAATCTTGTCAGAGAAATTCATTTGTTTTGACACACACACATGGGGGAAGGGGAAAGGGAGGAGGGAGGAAGGAAGGAAGGAAGGAAGGAAGGAAGGAAGGAAGGAAGGAAGGAAGGAAGGAAGGAAGGAAGGAAAAGAAAAAGAAAAAGCTAAATTATATTGTAATAGGAATATTTGAAAGTCTTAATGTGACAACTTTCGTGGACATTTATATTTAAAATAATATTCATTCCCAAAAGAATCTACCCTATCTGTTGGCTGTGTAGTAGCTATTGTAGTATTCAGAAATCGTAGTACTCAGTGAGTTCACTGTGTCTAAGCTTAGGACAATCATTACAGCTATATCCTAAAGACATTAAATTACTTTGGATAGTTGAATTCCTTCTGTATGACTGTTACTTCCTTTTAGCCATTTGTTGCATAACAGTTTAAACCTATACTTCTTTGCGTCTCAATGTAACTAGATCTTTTTGCTTGATTTTGAGGTACCTCTATTGCATTTAAATTAATGGTATGGCTGATAATATTTATTGTTAGCTCTATAATTATTATAGTAGTATTATCTAACTGCTATTAAAAACAATAAAGGACACATACACTTGATAGATTTTAGAACAGCCTTAGATATTAACCCTCGAAACAACCTTTGTCTCCCAGCCCCATCCCAGGCTACAACCCATCCATAATTCCATAAATACTTGCTTATTCTCCCATCTGGGCTGCTTCTTTCATCCGTGCTGGCCATATGCTTCTTCCTCGCTAATCCATGGTGGCTTTCTTCCTTCCTCCTCCGGTACCTCTCTCCTTCTTCTCATGATCCTCTTCTCCTCAAAGCCCACAAACTTTGGCCACACCTATCCCATTATGCCCTGCCCAGGTTTAGGCCTTTTAATTAGCCAATCAGGAATAATTTCTTAGGCAAGGTGACAAACATCATTTTGAGTTACATGAATGTCTCCTCATCAGGAAAGCAACCAGATCTTGGGGGCCAATAATTAGCATCATGATACATAGCACCAGACCAACCCCCAACATACCTCTAAATTGAAATGGCCATCACATAATAATATGTAGTAGATTTGTAAAAATGGCTCACAGTTCAATTAGAATGTACCTTATTTTTTATTTCACTAATTGTACATAACAGATATGTAGTGTTATTGATTTTAAAAAGTTAGCTATATGATTATTTTTACCCAAGCTTAGAATGCATCACTTAGTTCTGTTTGGTAAAATGTTTTTGTTACTAAGGAAGACATTCTTACAACAATATCTCAGGCCTCAAGACCTGTATCTTAAAACTTTTGGCAACTACATGGTAGCCCTAGCTAGGTCATTTAATATTCCAGAGATAGACTTTTTTCATCTATGATATTGAGATAATAATGTTCATTCTTCCTTTAATGGCTGAGGTAAGAGTTAAAAGAACATTAAAATAATAATAAAATAATATGCTTGTGTTTTGATTAGTATTTACTGAATATTTATTGATTAGTGTCTGGAGGGAACAATCTGTACAGAATGAGGAAATACCCATGAGCTGGCTGGATACCTAGAATGCATTCTAAAGTGAGTATACAGAATTTGACGGAATTAAATAGTAGTTGAAAATATTTTCAGTCCACTTTAAGTTGTCTGAGCAGAGTTGGAGATTTCTGGAATCAGAAAGGCAGCATTCAGATATCTTTCCAGGAATAAAATCTCCAGTAGAATCTTAAAAGTTGCTATGAATATTGCCGTCTCTTGAGAGCGTGTGTCCGCGTGTGTGTGCATGTGTGTGTGTGTGGACACTTGAATATGCGCACATGTATATGTGAGTGTATGTACATGTGAGCGTATGGGAGTGTGTGCACGTGTGTGTTCAAGACTGAGAGGTGTTAATTGTGGGCAACTGTAAACTTTCCTTTTTTTGTTCCGAACTTCAAGCTTTTCATTTATCAGTCTCTAAAGGATGGAGAGTTGAGTCTTTTCTGATACCATTTGAAGCTGTGGTTCTACAGAGGATTTAATGCTGTAGTTTGCAGGGAGTCTAGGTATTTCAAATCTGAAGCTTAAAACACTAAGCCATCCCCTCTGGCTTTTGCACAGATGCTGGGAAATCCATTTTAGAAACATGCCCATGTTTTGCCACTTGTTCAAAGCTGTAAGCGTGACTTGGCATTGAAATAATAATTTCTTTTCCAAAAGTCTCCACTGAACTATTACCTGGGTTATCTAAATACAGGCTATTTATTTGATTGACATTTTCTCTTGTCAGTTTCAGAACCTGTAAGTAATGGTTTTTGCTGGTGTCAAATCATAGAGGTAACCATCTCTCTAATTTAAATCCATTCTTTTCTGTTAATCCAGTAATACCTAGTGTAACCTGATCATACATTCTGGATGTAATTAGAGTCCTCATACAGAAATGTCATCTTATTGTTCTCTGAGAGGAGTTTCCTTACTTTCTAAGATAATATTTCTGGATTATGCCCCCCAGAACATTTGTAGAATATTTAAATCAGATACAGCCCTTTTGGCTTTTTAAACTTTAAAGTCATTTTAGTGATATATAAAGACTGAGGCAGGAGAAGATTATGTTGGTCTTTAGATGAGTTTTTCCCCTCAAACTAAGTATTGTACAACATATTTTCAATTTGTAATCCTAATGATATGCCATTGGTTTAATAAAGTTGCTCTAACAAGAATATAGTAGATCACTTTGCATAGTAGACTTTTTTAGAGCAGTTGTTTATGATGCTGTGGTAAAGCATCAAGTAAAGGTGACCCATTACTCTGGCAGAAGCCTAGAGGAACAGATTTCCTCTC